GTGACTGGAAGACCAAAAAGCAGGAGCAGGGATGTCCGGCAGCAGCTGGAGATCGGGCTGGGAGCTCTCACGTCCAGTGATGGACAGACAGGATGAAGTGGGGGTCAAGGTGCAGGACGGCACCAGCCCCTGCACAGAGACTCTCTGTATCCATCCAGCCTCAGCTGTGTGAGGTTGGGAGACTAAAATCCTCCCGGATGAAAGGACAAGGGGATAGAGCAGGCAGGGGAGCCTCAGGCTGCCCCATCACCTCCCAGCCTCTGCTAGCTGGAAGGAAAAGGGATAAAGACTGGGAAGGAGAGGGATAGAAACTCCATGGATAGAAACTCCAGACTTCTCCTGCTTGCTCCGAGTTCAACATGCACATTTATCACCCATGGCTGTGTTCATCCAGCCCCACGTTAACCCTTGAGTAGGTGCAGGGATGAGCTGTGAGCAGCACTGGGACCGGGAGGCACAGGGAAGATGCTCCAGGAGCCCTCCCCGGCTCTGATAAACCTGTTTGGATGGGAAAGTCAGCAGAACTCAGAGCAAATTCCCTTGAATTCCTGGTTTTCCCATAGGAACAAACCCCCAGCACTGCGGGTGTTAGGAACCAAAGGGTTCAACCCAGCACAGGTTAACTCCAGAGTCAGAGCAACGCCGTTTATTACTTCCAGATGTTTCTATCCATGTTGGAGCCATCGGACATGGAGGGGAGGGGAAAAGCAAAAGCCGTGGCTAAAGCATCCCCCCTCCTCCTGGATGGGTGAGGGGATATTTGGGATATATCCACACCCTTCCTCCCCAGGCTGCTCCGAGGAGGCCAAGGGCTGGAGCTGAAGGAAGGGAAAGGAGGAATTCCTACTCCAGGCTTTTCACAAATGCTTTATTTGTAGGACACTGAACAAGACACGAGGGGATGACGCGGACACGGAGCACGGAGCTGACACACGCACACATTTTCCTTATGGAAAGAGCAGCACATGGATAGAGGTCACCCCAGCAGGCTGGGAAAGCTTGGTCAAAACCAGGCAAGCCTCCAAGAGGAAAGCTTGGAATGAAAACCCCAGCACTATCCCGCAGGATTTGGATGCTGTATGGACACGGACGCATCAGGGCAGATGATACAGCCAAGGGAGGCAGGTTTGGGCACAGAACTGGTGGGTCTGGGCTGGGAGCAGAGCACCAGGCTCAGAGATGGGTGTTAGAATGCACCAGGGCCATGGTTTATGGGGAAGAGCCACCCATCCACTATTGTTTTGACCTTACCTGGAGATCTAGGTCTGGGTTTTAAGAGGTGCTGAGCACCAGTTCCACCCAGTGAAGGGCTGATAGCCAGAAACCTCCCACCAGCTCCTTCCCAGGCCCTCCTGCACCCAAAAGACAAAGCAATAGTGGAGGGGAGGAAGAAAATCAGTGCTGAAGCCTCTCCTGCTGATACCTGCTGGGTGCTCCTCCATTCCTGAAGACCCTGTGGAATGTGGGAACACACTGATGAAGCTTTTGGAGTGCTGGGATGGTCGCTCTGAACAAGAAGCCAGTCAGTGGCTTTGCCCTGTTCCAATCGGTCAGTGGAGAGAGGGAAAGGGAGAGGTTTGCTCTGAACTACCCCAGTGTGGTGTTTACCAGGATACTGGTGTCACCAACGAGATCTATCACAAAATCACCTCCGAGAGCTTCCCAACCGTGAGCTCAGACCCTTGTGGTCAGGCAGGAGCAGTTTCACCATCACCAGTGCAGATCTGAGGGGGATTTTCCTATTTCTATGACTTACAGAAGTCACAGAATCCCAGCCTGGTTTGGGATGAAGGGCCCTTAAAGCTCCTCCAGCTCCAACCCCTGCCCCGGGCAGGGACACCTTCCACTAGAGCAGGTTGCTCCAAGCCCCTGTGTCCAACCTGGCCTTGAA